GCAGTGTATTATTTGTTGAAACTGTACTTTCGATTTGATTTGAAACTGTCTCATTGCTATATGTTTATCAATAAAACTTTGAAAAGAAAAAAAAATAAAAACAGTTTGGTAACTTAAAAAAAAATCTTCTGTAGATTCTCAGGATCATTGCCTTGCCTTTCTACATATAACTTTGTCATGACATTGTCATGTTTCCTAATTCTTCTCCTTTCCCTCTCTTGATTAGTTAGTCCTTGAGATCCTGCTTTGCTTTTACTTGTATTATACCTTTCTATTTGTATTTCTTTCTTTGAGTTCTTATACTAGTGAAACTATACGATATTTACACATGTGTGTCTGGTTTATTTCATTTATGAGTATATGTTCAAGTGGCATCCACTTCAACATAAAGACTTTGAGTTTATCATTCATAATAGCTGAATAATACTCCATTGTGTAAAATTACCACATCTTTTTCAACCATTCCTCAGGTGAAGGGCATCTTGGTTGTTTCCAAGATTTGGCTATCAGAAATTGTGCTGCTATAAACATAGGCACACATATATCACTATGATACGATGATTTCAGATCCTCTGGGAAAATTCCCAGTAGAGGAATAGCTGGTTTAAATGGGATTTCCAGTCCAGCTTTTCTAAGGAGACTCCACACTGATTTCCATAACGGTTGCACCAGTCTACATTCCCACCAGCAGTGGAGAAGGGTTCCTTTTCCCCACAGCCTCTCCAACATTTGTTGTTAGGTGATTTCCTTATGATAGCCATTCTTTCTGGGGTGAGATGATATCTCAATGTTGTTTTAATTTGCGTTTCACAGATGGCTAGTGTTTTGAAGCATTTTTTCATATGTTTATTTGCTTCTTTAATTTCTTCCTCTGAGAAGCTTGTGTTCATCTTGGATGCCCATTTCTGGATTAGGTATTTAAATTTTGGGCCCTAGTGTTTTTCAGTTCTTTATAAATTCTAGAGAGCAGACCTTTGTGTGAGTACTGATTTGTCATAATTTTTTCCAAATTTGTGGGTTGCCTTTTCACTTTGTTGGTAATTTCTTTTGATGTGAAAAAACTTCTCAGTAAGAGCAGGTCCTAGTTTTTAATTCTTTCAACTGTTTCCTGTGTGATTTGATTTCTTTTCATGAAGTCTTTGCTTACTCCATGTCTACAAGAGTTCCTCCTACCTTCTCTTCTGGGAGATTTAGTGTCTCTTTTTTAATGTTTAGATCTTTAATCCATTTTGACTTTAGTTTAGTGCATGGTGACAGACCTGGGCCAAATTTGAGTTTTAGGCATGTAGAGAGCCAGTTTTTCCAGCACCATTTGTTAAAGAGGCTATCTTTCTTCCAGTGAGGAAGTTTGGCCCCTTTGTCAAAGATAAGGTGGCTGAGTGTGTTTGTAGGGACTTCAGCATCTTCTAATGTATTCCATTGATCCTCAGGTCTATATGTTGCTAGTACCATGCTGATTTTATCAAAGAAGCCTTGTAGTATAATTTCAACTCAGGAATTGTAATGCCCCCTGTCTTGTCTTTATTGCCCAGGATTGCCTTTTCTAGTCTAGGTCTTTTCCAGTTCCAGATATACTTTAGGAATGATTTCTCTAGGTCTGTGAGATATGTCGGTGGTAGTCTGATAGGGATTGTATTTAATCTGTACAGCAATTTTGGGAGTATGTCCATCTTCACAATGTTGGCTCTTCATATCCAGGAGCATGGAATATTTTTCCATTTTCTGAAATCCTTTATGATCTAATTGTTAAGACTAGTGTAATTTTCCTTGAAAAGATCTTTGACTTCTTTAGTTAGATGAATTTCGAAATATTTCATTTTCCTTGGTGCTATTGTAAAAGTTATTGTTTCTTTAATTTCCCTCTCAGTGTGTTTGTTGTGTGTGCAGGAGAATGCTATTGACTTTTGAGTATTGACTTTATAACCTGCTATGCTACTGAATTTCTGTATTAATTCTAGTAGCTTCTTGGTGGAGTTTTTTGGGTCTTC